TCCAGGAAGACCTAAAAAGGTATGACAGGAATGAAGGGGTACCACAGCAATTAAAAGTTATGTATTTTTTTGCTAACGTGTTCTGGACCAAAGCAGAGCATTTCCTGATTTTGATCCCTATTGGCAACTGAAGGGATCACACTTCACCTCAGTGCAGTCATCAAGGAAAGGAAAGAGTGAAAAGCCTGAAAATAAGCACCCATAATAGTTTCATATCAAAGCAATCAGAAAACATACGCTTTAATCCTATTTCTATACTGCAGCGAGCAGCATGAAACTCATGTAAACTGGAATTTCTTTACATCTTTCCACCTATAAGTGCAATTTAACCTAGCTGCATGAAAAAGCAAAAATTTTACCTGTCTTATTTCATTCTGGTCCTGCAGATTTCACGCAGGAAATCATGCTGCTTTGTATCATGCTACTGCAAAAGTTCTGCAAACAGCACAAAGTCTTTGAAAACAACAGAATTTAGACATCTGTAATTAAGGTTCGTGTTGATATGTGATAGCATTCAGCATCTTTGTTGCTATCAGTGTTAACTAGATGAGCAGATCATAAGCTGAGAATTTGTGCTAGTTGAAAATATTTTTTTCACTATGATCACAGCTTTTTTTGGAAAATTGATAAAAACACAGTAAGTAAAGAATACAAATAGTATCTTAATCTTTTAACTTCATTATTGACCAAATTTGAGATTGTTAATTTCTCGTAGTGGAAGGTAAAAAAATCTCCGTGTTATCAGCATTTTATAGTTTCCTAAGTTGCATATATGAAGTCTCAAATATGAAGATGTACACTTATCAAATACAACCTGCAGACTTGTCTTACAATGCCATGCTGTCTCAACTTCAAACCATAAGTATCTGTAGGTGCATTTCACTTAATCTGAGTCAATTCATGGTTCATTGAAAACAGGCACTCATAAACTGTCCAAAAGTTGAAATTTTATTTTGTGCAAGTTATTTGCCTGTTTCATTGTAGAACTGAGTAAAAAAGTCTGATTAAAAGTCCTTCCTCATCCTGATTACTTTAGTATTGTTTCTTGAGAAATAAATGAATGATGTCATAATGCTCTTTTCCAGGCAAAGCCAGAATTTGAAACTGTACTACTATTGAAACCCAGAGCTATCACAAATTAGAAAATGCAGAGTGAAATCAATTGTATCCTCAAAGTTTCTAACTTAAAATTGCTGAATACTGCGATCTTGGATGTTTTCTTATTACACTTTGCTTTTCATTTAAAGCTAAGGAGGTGGGGGAGAAAGGAGGGGGACCCTATCAGCTGGACATTCACCTGAGAAATGAGAGTGCAATATTTAGGTCTGTAATGTAAGGATGCACCTGGTGATAGGAATCAATTAGACAATGGGTTTCAAAGACTTCAGGCAAGAACAGAATTGGGACGCTTCTCCCTCCAGAGCAGGTCAGCCTAGAGTGGATGTCGGTCTTCAAGCAATTGGACAATACTGTTAGAATTCCTGTTAGTTTTCTACTTTTACTGATTCATCTCCCTACAAGTTAGGACTCTCAATTTAGTTTCAGTGGTATTTTTTTTTCTGCGACTCTGAATTATCTTTTTCTGTCTGCTTTTCCCTGTTCAGCCACTTCCTGGCTTAGAGGATGGAGGTTCTGTTTCAGTTCCTGTGTCTGATCCCAGCATGTCCCACAGCATACACATCTGCTGTCTATCCAGAGCACGAATCATAGAATTTATTGCTGTACTGTAGACATACAAATGGAAATATTTTTCAATTTCTAAGACAGTCAAATGTTTCAGGGACTATTCACCACAAGAACAGCATCAGGAATGCCCTTCATCAAATAGTTCACCTGCCAAAAGTGAACATCCTTAGCTCAAATAGGTCACCAGGTTCTTAAACACACCATAAATAATAATCCATAGCTTTGTTCTCAGAACATTGAATTACTTTTGTTACACTTTAACAAAGGAGGGGGGGAAAAACAATGATAAAACAAGCAAACAGCCAGCAGCAAACACCAGTCTGGAAAAATTTAAGTCCAGAAAGTTTACAAACCTGCAGGATGTGGGTAATGCAATCCATTTATTAGTATGGGATACTACTAATCCCACCTGTAGCACCTTCTGTGCCCTTAATCCACTCTTTAACTTTTCATGAAATTTTAACTTTCAGTCCTGTCTTCTGTGGCTTGCTTTTATCTTGAGGATGTTCCCATTTTTCAAATTTATGTGAGAATTGTATGCCAATCTGGGGAATTTAATAGCAGTGTTTTAAAACAATTATGAACTACTAACGCCTTTTGGAACCCAGGCCACCATTTAAAAATTTTTGATCTTTACCTTTATTCAGTCAGGACTGATGGCTTGGCTTACTTGCTTTCCAGGGATTTTCTGACACCTTTGCCAACAATCCATTATAATATCAGCACTTGTATTTCTAGCTTTTTGGATTGCTATCGTTGCACACTTCTAGGTGCAGCTGAATTGGCTGACCTATGCATGAACCACCACTTCTGCACTTTACAGCCCAAATCAACTTTTACTTGCACAAGTAAATCTGCTCGTGTTCTTCATATTGCTTGCTTTGTAAAGGATTACTCACACAAGGCTTGCCATACTGAACCCTTAACCTGTAAAACTATGGCTGTAATAAAGAAAATGTTGTTATGCCCTTTAACTAAATGTTTTAATCTAAAAGCTCTTCAGGCACAAGACAATTAATATAAATGAGAGACAATTATACTAACCAGCCTGTGTCCTTAACAGTGAACAGCCTATTAACCATTTCACTTCTAATACTACCATATTAATAAAAATAGCATATGATCTATGTTTTCTAGTTCAACTGGAATACCTATTTTATTCAGTTTTCATTACTGAGTATAATTTCAAAGCTGTTTTTGACTTTAATGGCAACATATGGGATTCTAAGGCAGGCAATTTGGTGTCTAATTAATTTCTATTTGGAACCAAACTTTTCCCTCTGCAGCATGTGTTTATTTATGTTTCCTGGGCAGGACTTGGGTAACTTCTGTACAACAGAAAAGCATCTGAGCTCTTATGGCCAGAAGAGTCCATCCATTGCTAAGAAGTTTCCAGTGGTACAGCTTTTTTCTCTCAATTTAGATATCCCTGTGATTGCAGATTTTTGCCTTATGGAAAATACGGTTTGCAGCAATTAAATGCTCCTTTGCAGATTAAACACCAGCAAGAAATCTGTCACAACAGTTTAGATCAGCTCTGCTTGCTTCTGCAAACAATCAGGAATGTCCATTTTTCACTTAATTTTCCAGTATTTTGAAGGAAACCTTCTCAATATCATCTTAGTCTAAATTTGTAGTGAATCTGTTTAGCCATTTATCAGTCTCATGTTATTTTTGCATATCTGTATAAGCATCCCTTTATGTTCCTCTTGCTCTGGTTATGAATTAAACTATTACAGAGTGCAGAGAATGTGCAAAGTTGATTATTTTTCTTTATAATGTATTACTGTAATTTATAATTTCAATATTAATATTTACTATCCTCAGTATATATAGGATTTGGGAAAACCTTTTCTATGTAAAATCCACAAAAAAAAAAAAAAACAAAAAAATCAACAACAAACAAACAGTTTTTAGTAAATTAAAAGAAAACCAAATTATCTTATGATTACAATTTGATGTGGACAAAACTGCCCCAAGCAGTTTGCTGTTTTTGTTAGAGTAACAGTGGCACTCCATGGTGAAAAGGTAGAACACAACTGAAGCAAAAGTGGAACACCTGAACTACTGCAAACTCCTTTTTCTTTCCTTAACTCCCACTATCGGTTTTATCAGTAGAGCCAGAATCTGTTTCTACTTTCCTACTTATTCATTTTAATTTTCAGTCCAATTTTGTGAGGCTACATCTGTTATTTTTTTTAAAGGTCCCCAAAGCTGGCTTAATTTTTTTAGTTGTTTGGGGAAATACAGAACCAAAACATGCTTGTGTTAGACCTTTTCCATTTCGGTGCTAAAAGAGTAGCGATATATGATGCTGTCCTTTAACCAAGAGAACTGTTCTGTATGCTATTTACCTTTTCTACCTTGTGATCCAGTTAATCCTTGAAGCCCTGGAGATCCCAAAATTCCATGTTGCCCTTTTTCTCCCGGTTCTCCTGGCAATCCTGGAGGACCTGTAGCTCCTGTAAAAAAAAAAACCAATATATATATATATATATTGTTTCTATATATATATATACAATATATTATTATTATATATCAATATATAATATTGATATATAATATGTATGGATCTTGCTCTCAGGCTCTGAGCAAACTCTACTGGCACTGTCCAGACATACTGAAAGAGCCGTCAGTACAAACTTTCATACCACCTACAGCTTCCTCCACAGAGCTGCCTCTTCAGCTGTGCTTTCTTGATCCCTACCTCTTTTGAGCCCTTACATCATGCCAGTTTTTTTTTTTAAACATTGGCTTTACCTGGAAATCCAGGTATTCCTGGGTATCCAGGCTCGCCCTTGGATCCTGGTCTTCCAGGTTGCCCTTGGATACCTGGTGAACCTTTCTCACCTGGGAATCCACAGAATCCTTAAAAAACAAAAAATAATAATAAAATCTTGAAGTCTCATGTATCAAGTTACCCAATTCTTCATCTTGTGGTATGTGAAAAAGATTTAAACGTTTGGTAAGATTTTCCTGGAATAGAAAAGCATTTTCTCCTATTGTATAAGATCCTTGCATCTATTTAGCAGCAATAAGTTATGCAACTCTCTCTGATATCTGAAAGAGTAGAACTGGTGAGTGAGAAGCAGACAAGTATTCAGGAAGGCTTCAGGATATTTACCAGTGCTGTACTAGGCCATACCAGATTATACCTCTCATGTTTGTGATAGCTGTGTTACACATTGTGCTTCTCCATTCCCTGGGCTTATAACTGTGGAAAATACAGCTCGGTTTGTTGAAAGAAGGGCTCTCTCTCCACTAACAAAGCTTATAGAAAGTTTATCATGCTCAACTTTTTTTTTCTTAATTAGAAAGAAGTTACCTGGTAATCCTGGATCTCCAGGAGACCCTTTTTGACCTTGTGGACCAAGCAGAAGTGTTGGGTCACCTCTCTTTCCTGTTAAGGTACAGTGACTTTCATGTAGTACAAATATCATTTTCATCCATGAAAACAAAGCTGAACAGTTTTGTAAAATCAGATCATTTACTCATATATTATGTATATGTTATTATTAGTTATGATTATTAGTTATAACTATAAAAGGGAATGAGAGAACACAATGAAAAATGCTTTGGCAAATGGAAATTATCTGACAGCTCAGCCTATCTTGACGTACAAATTAATTTGTATTTGGTAATTGCTGCCAATGTTCATGTGAATTTCCCACTATGGGAAAGGGAAAAAAAAAAGAGAACTTTTCCAATACTGACAGCATATACTGAATATGAAAGATATTTCCCTATAATGCTTTATTAAAAACAAAGAGCTCCTTACATATGCTTGTGCAGATTTACATAATCAATGCAGCATGAGTCCATTTATTCAGTAAACGCCATTTTGTGGGCTCTTCAAGCTAGCACAACTTCTTCTGTGGTGAAATTCCCATTTAGCACAGTGCTATCCTAGCAATTCTGTAATATGTGTACAGATTGTTCTTTTTTGGGGGGAGGGAGGGGAGAAATGACTGATATGAAAGTAATTGTGAATCCCTCTGTACTATTTTAAAAAACTACATATTTGTCTAATAACATAAATGCAATTTGTCTTATTTGATTTGACTAGTATTAAAGATGCATGTATGTTTTTATTTGGTTTTTTTTATGGACTTTTGAAACTGTGAAACTTCACATAGATTTATCTTCTGAATTAATGAACTATCTTACAACGAACAAGCTGTTAAAGAAGTAACGTGTTGAAATGCAAGTTTTGCCTTTCAGGCATGTCAGACTTCTCTCTAATTATATTTATGTTTGAATTATGTTCATTTCTGTCTTCTATTCCTGTGTCTAGTAACTCCATATATCAAAGCATATATATCATAACAAAATGTTTTTTTTTTTCAAAAGCATATTTATATCAGCTCATTACCTTTAGGGCCTTTGGGGCCTGTCAGTCCTGGGTTTCCAGGCATTCCTGGTAAGCCAACATCACCCTGAATTTTATTTTTTTTTAAGAGCAAACAACAAAAAAAATGTTTGATGGTTTCATGTATGATACATGTAATAAGAATGATCTGTAAGAACATTTAGTTCTTTTACTCTGGTAAACAGATTGGGAATCAACATGAACAACAAAACTGTATCTTAAACTCAACAGAAAAGCATGCTGTCTTCATTACATGTCTAACACTGACCATTAACACTTCCAAAAAACTCTATATTAGAATTACTAACAATTTTGAAATTGTTAATGCTAATGCTTGCCTTTGCTTTAACATCTTGAATTCCCCACAGGTTGTTTGAGTAATTTAATTTAAAAGGTTCTACAATGGTGTACCAAGTATTATTGTATTTTACCCCCAATTCACTACAAACATTAACCAGAAATCTGTTGTGACGTAACAATCAAAATATAAGGATTTCTTTCTTTCTCCTTTTAAATAATCAGCAAAACAGATACTCTCTTCAAAGAAACATAGTAAAGGGCAAGACAAGCAAAGATATGTCCTTGTACCAAAAAGCAAGTTCAAGTACAATATGAGTATCCACTGTCATATTTCCTGGAGTTGGGAGAGATACACTTAAAGTCCAGGACTGTCACTTCACTGTCACAGGACCAGTCACTGTCACTTCAATTTACCTGGTCACCTGGTAGTCCTTTGAAACCTGTAATTCCTTTAGAGCCCTTTGGTCCTGGGAAACCTCGTGATCCCGGAAATCCCATCAGTCCGATGTCACCATGGTCACCTGGAAGTCCTGGGGCACCACTGTTCCCTGGAAATCCTGGGGCACCTCTGAAACCTGTATTTCCTTTTTCACCTGAAGTTAATTGTAGGATAACAATGACAAATATAGTCAAACCATATTTTGAATATGGCTATGCTTTCACACTTTGTATATTGCCTTAGTAAGAGCTCAAAGAAACTAGCCTGCTAGGGTCAGAATCTGTAAGAACAGTAAGGTAGCTAGATACTGCTGCAACTATAAATCCAAACCTATGAAAAACATCAGTCATTTATATAATGTACAATGTATGCTTGTGTGCACAGCTTTATTTTATGAACTTACCTCTTTCACCTCTAAATCCATTGTCACCAGGAAACCCTGGCTCCCCCTTTTGTCCTTTCTCAAGGCGAATGTTAATGCTGCCACCATCTCCTGGAAGCCCTCTTTCACCTTTGAACCAAACATATGCAATGTAAGTAAATCCTTTTGTGTTACAGGACCTAAAGATTAATTTTAGCAAAGTCTTCTCTACTGATGAAAGCCTTTGAATACTAATGCAGACTCCAGTTATTTGAGAAGGCTTGCTGCTAACACAGCTAATTTTATTTTGCTTGTTTTTTAGTTAAATCAGTAGTAATACAGCTCATGATAAATCAGAATTATTCCCTACTTGTCTGAAATAAGGAAGATGGCAAATATGTCTGCTTTACAATGTACTTTCTGTGACCAAGTACACTTTAGAGACTGCTGTTCTTTCTCCTGTATTAATATGCAAATAACATGACAAAATTTGAAAAATCTAAAGTTTCACATACGTACAGGAGAAAATTCAAGGCTTGTTTATGTGAATTATCTTTATGTATCATTTGATTTACTGCTGTAAATGGATCTTTGACATTAATTTTTATCCAGTCAGTTTTCATGCATACATAAGGGAAAAAATGGATTTACTGTCTCTGAGAACAAGTTAAAAAAACACAAAAACAGAAAATATAAATCTATACCAAACATGGTCTTAACAAATAGTAGTCATAGTACTAACAAAATTATAGGGTGAAGCAGATTTGTACAAACCTTTCACTCCCATATCCCCACATTCTCCACTAGGCCCAGGTGGACCCATACTTCCTTCTTCCCCTTTTACACCAGAGATTCCCATTGGGCCTTGTGTTCCTGGGAGTCCAGGGAATCCTTGGGGTCCTTGAATCCCTTTGCTTCCTGGTAATATTAAATGCTTTATTTACATAGTCTGCTATATCGTTGCCATCACATTCTAAGGAAAATTATAAAGCAAAAGGCAGGAGGTTTACAAGGATTCCTTAGGAAATCAGCAAAGCTAGAGAGACAATAATTGTGCCAAGATTAAACTTGTCAGGAATTCTAGATTGCCTTGGAACAAACATATTCCCCTCCCGAGCCACCATCTCCTTACTTAGCATACTTAGTATGCTTTCTACTAGAGAAGCTAACCCTCAAGATACCTGATACTGCAAGTTGGACTACTTATGTATTTTTTCCTTTTCTTTTAATATTCTGTGACATCTAGCCTTATTTTAAATCTAATTTTACCTTGTAATCTGCACTTGTCTAACTAGGTTAGTCTTGCTTTAGTGCACTTAGAATTCTAGACTGAGTATTTTTCTGTGAATGGTAAGCAACATTTTGCTCTAAAATGAATGTAAACTTGTTATTTTCATAACAAAGTAGTTTTCAGGGTTTTTTTGTTTCTTGGCACAATTTCTCACATTTTCAGAAGGACTAGACATAATGTGAAACTATTTATTCACTCACTTATGAGAATATGTTCTAAATACAGAATACAGTCCCAGACTGCATCAGTAAAGGAGATAGTCTGCATGCAATAAAAACATTGTTCTCATTATGATATATTTAGCAACAAACTATAAAAAATAGCAAATTATACACCAAAATATGTCAGTGTTGTTTAACAAACAAGGTGCCACAATGCATCAAAGTGTATCTTTCTACTCCTTTGTTTTTATTTTAATAGAAAGAACAAAAGATGCTATTATTACTGCCTCTACCTTGCTGCAGGGCCTTATTCTAGAAGCTGGAAAGGAAAGAGGATGCAAAGTGTCTCATATCTTTGAAAGCAGTTGAGATAGCTTCCAAAACAAGAAATGTTATGGATGAAGTGATGTGCAGGATGTTTAACATACCTGTTTGACCTGGGAAGCCAGGCTGTCCGTTATTGCCTGGAAGTCCTGGAAGTCCTCGGGACCCTGGAGGACCTGGGGGGCCCTGTGAGCCAGGAGAGCCCTTGAGACCTTTGATTCCAGGTGGCCCAGCTAGACCCCTGTCTCCCTTCTGACCTTTATAGCCTGGTAAGCCTGTAAAGAAAATATTCACTTTATAAGCATAAATGCAGGGAAAGAATTCAGCAATTGTATTTTACAAGTATAACTGGAGTATAAATTTGAAATCATCAAACATGGCAAAATGATTTAGAAACTTTGCCACCATGCTGGAGTCCTGCCTCTGCCTGAATTTTCACCTGGAATGTTTTGTTTTCTTATACTTCTTAAGTAAGAGACATAAAGCTAGAAGCTCCCTGCAATAAATCTCAACTTTATGAGAATTTTGAGTATTTTGAGAATGCCAAGATCCCTAAGTACTTTTGACACACGTTTACTAGCTCAGCTTAAGAGTGAAGAAGATAATTTTATCTCAGCAATGCCAGGAGTTCAGCTAAGCTACTCAGGACAGAAGAGAATAAAAGACAATTAACTTTTCTGTTTATTATTTGGCAGTGAACACATTAATATTTGGCCAGTTAAGGTATTTAATAAAGTAAAAAGTTAAAAGTATTTATGAGAAAGAAAGCAAAGTTGTGAAAAATCTGAGATGAACATTATATACTCCTTGAATTACAGGAAATGTACAAAATAATGTACACAGCCACTAATGAGCAGCTGTCACGGAAGTATTTGTCATGCTAGTGACAAAAATCATGTGGTTAAATCCACTAGAAAAGATGTGCAAAGCTTACAGAAGTGAGGCAACCTGATGAATGTCAAATACCTTGAGAACCTGGCAGGCCTATGGCACCTCTGAGTCCAGGTGGCCCTGGTAATCTTGTGTCACATGGTGGACCAGGGGTGCCTGGACAGCCTGGTGCTCCTGTATCACCTTCTGGGCCTCTAAAACCTTTAGCACCTGGAAATCCTGGGGTCCCAGGGTGCCCTGGAAACAAAAAGAAACCAACAAAAACCACTGTAAAGTCTTTCAATTCCATTACTTGTTATCCATAATAATTTCTACTTTAATTTTGAAATACTATGTTGTTACTGGAATCTCTTACTTATCCTACAGCTTTTGCACGGTTTGTGTAAATGGATGTTTATCTGCAGTTTAGAATCGGCTGCTGCAGAGCACTTCTTTCTTTAAGGAAAACACAAATTCAGTTCTCACCTACAGGTGAGTAGGGTCTTTATGTTGCAAAAGCTATCTATCTGATGTGTAGAGTAGAATGAGGGGAGCTTACTGGCATGCAGCAGCAACATGGTTCTACTGGAGTTCCCTGCATGGAAAAAATGTGTTACTGAGGGCCAGGCAAAAAGGGGGACCTATAAAAGCAAACAGGAACATCTGCTATAAAGTAGGAAGGCTGTGGCACTGTGGAGACACTTGCAGCAGCAAGCAAAACTGGATACTGAGGATTATTTTGGGCAAAGTTGTTCATCTTTCTCTTTCTCTCTCTCTCTCCTTGAGTGTTCTTGCATCTTTAGCCCATCTTTTCTGATTTAAGAAAGCAAACTGAGGCAGGCTCTATCTTTGTGTCTGTGGAGCACAGCAGGAAACTCTAAGCATGGATGACCCATAGTCAGCAAGTGACAGTAATAACAACTGGAAGCTGCAGTGTTACTGTGCAAACCGGGGAAAAGACATTTTCCTTCCCCTGCAGTTCAGATTTTCTCAGTGGCTGATCAACCCTACCTGTGAAAAAGTAAAAATATGGTGTACCCTTCATGGTCACCATTATGGATGCAGCTAAGAATAAGGTTATCAGTGCTGATCTTGCACAGACTTTTATATTTGAATACATGGAAATGCTTCAGAAAAACTGTTTCATACCTTGAAGCCCAGGAATGCCTGGGTCACCCCTTGCTCCTTGTGCACCAGGTGGTCCTGGCAGTCCCCTGTTGCCTGGGATTCCTGGAGGGCCGTATGTAGTATCACCTGGAACACCCTTCTGGCCATCTATGCCAGGTGGACCTGGAGCACCATTTTTACCATCAATGGTAGGTCCTCTTTCACCTTCTTCACCAGGATCACCAGCTGTGCCTCGGAAGCCTGTTGGTATGATTTTTAAATTCAGATAGGGCATAAGTAGTATATTTTTTTCTTCTCACACTCTGGAATATTATAAATCATATTTAACCAGAATTACATTATCACTTTGCAAGGAAAAGTAATATTATATAGTAATTTTCAGATTTCTCATTTACTGCTAATAATATGTGAGAGATGGTGGAAGTAAGTATTCCTGTGGGAAGGGACAATGCTTTTCTCCAGGGCAGCATCTATTTTGTGTACTGTCATTCTTATCAAGATCAATTCCTTTGCTGTAAGGGCACCAGTTAGTCTCAGTTTTCTACGAAAATTTATATATGCCAAAATCATTTCCTCCCTGTACATTGAATATTAGGTTGCTGCAGTACTTGCTGGAGGAAAGGGTGAACATTGGTAAATATTCCTCTTCTATTAGCTTTAGTTGAAATATACTTCTGTTTCACACAGTAGCTACTTTACCCTGTCTGTATGTATTGCAGCCTGACCAACAGGTGTCCTTAACTGAGAAAAGTAAATTCACCTTCTGGTCCAGGAATTCCTGCTCCTGGCCTGCCTTGCTGGCCTTTTGGCCCATCAAACCCATTTTGTCCAGGAAGACCAGGGAGTCCTTTTAAGCCCTTTGGCCCTGGAAACAGGAAGAAAAGGTGTAAAAATCCAATAGAGCTCTAAAATTTGTAATTTAAGAGAACAGTATTTTGTCTCTATCTCGTGCTAAAATGTGTACTTGGAAAACAAGATGACTCAAATTTTTCAAGCAAGAGTTGCCAACTAAATCACAAACAAATCTATGGCTTCTGTTTTTCCAAATGGGTTTGTACCCTATAACATTAACAGCAGACTTCAAATCACCCGAGTAACGTGTGGAAAAAAAATCTAAAATATTTTAATACTACAGGACATCAACCTATTGAGCTACAATTGTCAATGCAAATTCTTGTGTGCTATACACTTCTTCTGGAATGGAACAGTTGAACTCAATACGCTAATCTTTGTTGTTTTGTATCATTCCAAATGTGCAATTTGTTACCATTCACAGTACTCGTGTCAGGGAGTTGTGTAATACCATGCTGAAGTGACAGCTTGAAAATCCAGTATCCCTGTTGGTTCTGATCATGATGTTCTGTGGTGTCTCAAATGCTTTAGAGTTGTCAAAAGCAACATTTGGCCAGTTCCTGGATGAGTTATTTCAATTTAAGTTGAACAAGGAAAGTAGTAAGTATTCAGATTTTAGGCTTCAAGTGTTCTGAACTATGTTATCTTAGAAATTACAGTCTTGAAGCATATTTTTGCCTGGTATACATTTTTATCCTGTTATCCAGATGTGGATATTCCAGGTCCTATTGCATCTAACCTTTGTCTATTTAAGTCTGTCTCACGTCTTTTAAGTGAAGCAGGACAGTTTCATGGTACCTTCATTTAGTCACTCCTATGAAAACAGTCTGGATACCTTTTGATCATGGAAACTGGAGCTTTCCAGTCCTTGGTTGTAATAGATAACTATATACCTGTACATTTGCAGTTTTACATTTTGAGATATGTATCTGCTGAAAAACTAGAGTCCTTAGTGTATCTTCATAGGAGAGCTTCTTTTTTTTTTTTTTATAATTACAAACTCCTTTTTTAATTAAAAACTCACTTTCGACTTAAAATAAAATTTCTCCATCTGTAATTTCTTCATACCTTGAACACCTTTAAAACCAGGGGGACCTGGGTTTCCAGGGTAGGGTGATGTAATACACACAGTGTCACCTGAAGCAAGAAGGAGAAAGAAAATGGCCTATTTGATTTTAAAATAAATGTAGTCTGGACATGTACAAAAACATTTCTGTGGTACAAACCAAGTGAGCAAAGGTAAAGAGAGAGTTTTTTTTTACGTACATCATTACTGCCATATTATTAAGGTATGATGAAGAATGCATTTCTCTTGCCGATTATTTTGTATAGAATATTGTTAACGATTCTAATCATTACAATACAGTTGTATTCTGTAGACAGATTTTTGTTTTTCACTTTTGTAGTGTCGGAAAGTTTTCTTTTACAGTAGCCTCTACTGTAAGAAAGAAATTATATTTTCATCTCAATTCTGTGTACATTTTTTATTTATACATATTGATATCAGTGAAGATTTCTTTGGTAGGGAATACACAAACAGAAAGACTGTGTCTCAAGTATGAGTTGTCTTTTCTGTTCCTTTAGCGAGAACCACGGCCCTGTAAATTCTTATAAATAGGAGTATTCTCCACTCCAGAAAGTAATTCCTCTGGGGTGTACAAGTAGCACACTGCAGGCCCCTTTAGATTCATATTCTTACCAGTACTTGGCTCTTAAGTGCTGACAGTATGTGACCACTGAGCTTACCAAAACATTTAGCTGTAAATGACTAACACTATGTATGTTTCTGATCTGCATCTGAAACTGTAATGGATGGTACCAAACATGTATTTAGTTTTTAGTTCTCAATGTAAATATTTAAAGTTACCTTTCTGACCCTTTGGACCAGGCAGCCCAATGTTACCATCATCACCAAAGTCTCCAGGGGTACCTCTGACTCCTGGAGGGCCAGGAAACCCCAAACCAGGCAATCCCATTGGTCCTTTTGCTCCAGGGAGTCCTGGAACTCCAGGAAATCCTTTATCACCTGGTACTGGTACTCCAGAATCACCCTAAAAGAAAACAGCTGTTGACAAGAAATAGCATGACCTAACTCCTTTCCTCTCTTTGATTATCGAAAGCCACAGTAGAAAATTATCTGCAGGAAACACTGTTCTAGTCAAGAAACGACATTATTAGTTTAAATAATGAAAAACAACAGGAACAGAAGGTAGACTTATTTTTCCTAATCCCATGATATTGATCCAGTATATGCATTAGATATATCCAGAAGCAACAAAATAAGCAATAGTACTTAGAAAAGAAATTTCTTCAATGATACTATTATTTTTAATCTAGGCTAACAGAAAATGATAAAAATGATTAATCTGCTATGAATTTGGAGTGAGATTCATTAAGAGAGAGTCCTTTCTTAAAACAAAATGTTAACCTGTGTAGAAAAAAATCCTGAGAAAGTAAAACGTACCTCAGCTCCTTTTTCCCCAGGCAATCCTAAATCCCCATCTCTGCCATCGTTACCTTTTTGGCCTGGAAATCCTGGAACCCCAGTAGGACCTCTTTCACCTTTTATTCCTTAAAATAAATTTAAAAAGGAAGTACAGTATATACAGTGTGTTTTCCTTTTTATTATCTGCTTAGGTAAATACTGGGTAACCATTCATTCTATCCAGCTCTGTGTGATACTTTTCACTTCTTGAATTCAGATTTCCCGAGTGTGGTAATTTGGGCTTAGGAAGGCAGCAGGTAGTTGGATACCGCATGAAACAAATTTGTTTCTTCAAAAGATGTGTTTACAGGCATCACTAGAACATGCTTCTGTGCATATTATGTACAGACTGAAAAACCTGTACTATTTGAAATCAGTTTTATCCTTGATTTCACTCAATTCAGGATATAGTAATGCTATACAATGTAGAATAATTGTATCAATGTTTCTGAAAGGTCTTCATTGCTTTTTCTTATTTTTGCAGTAGATTTCTCTTTTACTGACATTTATGAAAATGCAATTTTTGAATAAAAGACAATAACAATAATTCTAACCCAAGAATTAATTTTGCTACATCAAGATATTCTTTATAAGTAAACAGCAAATGTTTTGTCCTGCTCCAATGTCTGTAAATAAAGAGAGACCATCCTTAGCTAAACTAACCTTCTCAAACAATAAGATGGATGTCGTCTTTTCTAAATAATTACTGTAGCATTTGTAACTAAGCTTTATCATCAGATTACTGTAATTTGTTTTTCTGTCTTTTCTGGTATTGCAGATCATACCGTAATTGGGGAGAGTTTTTGATCTGTTTAATTACAATAATTTTGGTTGTGCTAGCATATTGCTTGTTTTCATGTTTTTCCTGAGAATTTCTGGCTGCTTAAGTGGAAATAACAGTAGGAATACTGACACGTGATTCTTCAGGAGGTGACTTTAAATAACAATATTTCTTCTTACTTTCACAATAATTGTATTCTGCTTGGTTTTTGCTATATAGGCCTCTACAAGACTTTGATCAGAAATCACAAGACATTGAAAAAGCATGAGTAGTAACAAGTTTTTAAATTAATAACAACCTGTTTTTTGGCTCAAATATAAAGTAAAATGTGTAAAAAATTTGTGCTGACCTTGTGTTGAGTAAGAAGAAAACAGAAGAGTTTTTATCAAGAAAGCAGTCTGGATATACATGACCTCTAGGCCTCCATAACTTGCCAAATTAATGACTTGAAGATTAGATGTTTGTCTTGGTCTACCTTCTAAGTATTGTATAGGAAATAAAAAGGCTAATGATAAAGTATGTATTTACCTTTTATTGAAACTCTTCCTTGGTCACCCTTCTCTCCTTTTTCACCATGTTGTCCTCCAGGACCAGGTGTCCCCTTACCAATGACGATCCAGATCCCAAAAAAGAAAAGAAAAAAAGAAAAAAGAAGGAAAGTTGTAAGTTAATCTCCAGAAAAGAAGTAATAAAGGAATTGAAGGGAAAGCAGATATGTCTCTTGTTCTTGCATTGTTTCTGCCCCTAAAAAGGCCAATTAACGTAACATACCAATAAAAAACAAACTGTTGTATCTTTTTTGATATCAATAAAGAGGTACGTGAATGATGCTTGGCCTTTTCATTCAGCCTGACTGCCAAATGCATGGAGATACACCTATGAAGGTAAGTACTGATAGCCCATGTTTCATTCAGCTGTGAACATAAATGTGAGAATATTAAAATGCAAACAGTTCACAGACTCTTCCTATTGCAGACTTTGTCCCATGATTCATCAAGTCTACAGAGGAAGGGAATCTCTCGAGAATGTTGTGACTGCTGGATAAGGTTACCTTCCCAGAACTGAATGCAGTAAGTGATTTTCCTTTTTTTTTTTTTTTTTTTAATTAAGTGAAAGCCCAGAAAGCTGCCAGTATAACATTTTATCTGCATCTAGTTTAATACCTGCTATCTTTTAACACTCTATGACTTGATGGGTTAAGAGGTGGAAAAAAAAAAAACGCTTTTCTGTATTTTTACTCTAATTTGTGCTCTCAGTTCTCCAGTCTGGTTTGCACATCATCTTGGTGTGTGAATCTGACCTTGAAACAATATGTGTAAATTAAAATTTGGTAACATGAAAAACTGATGTTATATCCTGACACCAAATAATTCTACGAAAAAGCTTTGTCACTAAAAAATTCATTCAGTTTCCTTTCATGAAGAACTTGAAATTGTTATATTGCAAGGAAGCTATTTAAACAAACTAGAAGTCTTTATTTTGAGGATTATTATAATTTCTCTTTCTAAGGACTGGACAAAACAAAAGGCAAAATGTTGATTCCACTTTAGCTTAATTGCTAAGAAGCATGTCACAAAGAGACAAGGTTTGCCTACAGTGGCTGATCCAAATGGGAAACAAACTTCAGCTGAGCATTGACTGAAAATAGGAGATTGGAAAGTAATACACAACAATGAAGGGATAAACACAACAAAAAAATAGCACTGCCTTTCATACTTCATGGGAGTGAAAGACTGTATTTTTTTCAGGCCACTGCATGAAATAAATTAAGCACAGCAAGTTAAGCATTTCAATTAATTTCTAAAAAAAGAAAAGGAACAAAGAAAATGACTTGAAATGCTTGAATAAAAGCACACATATGTTGATATAAAATACATCTTAGCTTGATGACATTGTGCAATTTTGTCTTGATAAAATTTTGCTGGAAACACTTTCATTTAAAATAACCGAGAAAATCATCTTCAGTCAACTGATGCATCCGTATTAAAAAACAAACAAACAAACAACAAACAATGGGTGTTTACAACTAAAACAAATCAACATAATAATACTTGAACACACACCATCTTTATTAAGCCTCCTGATGACACTGTCAACACAGAATTGAGTTCTGTCCCTCAGTATGTAACTCCTCCCACTGCTACAAGGGAAATCAGATAAAAGTAATAAAATGTATCCTCCTCCAAGACTGAAAATAGCAAAAGTAAATAAAACTTTTTCATTGCTTTCCAGGCCAGTTCCTTCACCACTCCTCTAAAATGCCTCCTGTTTGAGTGTTCAGTTAATGTTATTTACTTAGTGAAGCTCATGAAAACTACTCACAGGGAGCCCTGGTGATCCCACTGTACCAGAAAAGCCTGAATCACCCTTTTCTCCATGTCTTCCAGGGTAACCCATTTGTCCTTTCTTCCCTTGAGTACCTGGAGGTCCTTGTATACCACGTGGACCAGGAGGACCAGCACTACATGAGCAGAGGCCTTGATTTCCTATAAATGTATCAAAATTACATTGAAACAGTTGCATAATACATTTTAAAAATACTGTCCTTTTTCTTTCGTGTATGTGTAGTGCACAGACCATTTTATATCTCATTACGCCCTTCAGAAGAGTGAAGCTTACCAATATGTTTTTGCAGTAAAGAATAATTGCCTGTACTGTTGTGACTCTAACTTAGAAGCTGCAACAGCCATCTAACTATACATTTTGATGATTCTGATTATCCAACTTGCCATAAACTTCTGTTTGCAAATTTAGGACTGAAGTGATAATTTGGCAAAGGCCTCATATTCAAATGATTGCTGTCCAGGTACACCTACCTTTTTCTCCTTTTTCACCTTTTCTACCCGGAAGGCCTATCTGACCTTTTGCTCCAGGTTCTCCAGGAATCCCTCTCTCCGTACAAATTACACCTTTGAAAAAAAACAAAGTTTAGGTCAAGTGTTCTCTCCCTTATGTCATTATCCTTGAAAATCTAGAGATTTTACAAAATACTTCACAAGTTATTGCTTACAGATCAGACTACACAAGTAAGTCTGACTAGAGTTGATGTCGCAAGTGTTCTTTTCCTTGCTACAATTTTTTTCCTATTCCACTGTAAAATTTTACAACTTGTTTTTTTACTAAAGGATTGTAATTTGGGTTTCCCCCCCAGTCTACTGTGTTTTTAACTTCAGCTGATACATCTTTAGGAACTTTACTTACCTGTTATTTTGTAGATTTAAGTCACCCAGGAAGCTAAAAATCTTGACATCTTCCAGACTGACAATTAATGGGAAACACATTTCCTACACCACATGTAAAATTTGATATTTCTATCAAAAGGCAGCCCTCGGATTTTTGTAGGACCAACAAAAGCAATAAATCTATGGATGATATTCTCACAACATAAATTGCTGTTGAACATACTAGGTAGTCCAGGTAAGCCTTGTCTTCCTGGCTGTCCTGGTAGTCCAGGTGGTCCAGGAAATCCAGGTCTTCCTGGAATTGCTTCACCTGTTCCAGGTGAACCAGGGTCACCTCGAAAACCTTGAGGTCCTGGTGCGCCACTTATTCCTGGCAGGCCAGGCAGACCTGTAAAGTAATGACACAGACAATGCAGAACTGTTGTGCTGTACAATAAATAAGGCTTAAATCTAAGTATTCATGTTTTCTTTCCCAGGAAAAAAAGTGGCTTCTGCTTTGTACCTTCAAATGCCTTTTTTCCTTCTCCTCATTATCTCCTGTCCAGACATCACAGTTTATTCAGTTGGTCCTTATATTAGATCAAAGTTGTCTATATCACTCTCCTTTACAACTTTCTGAAGTTGGGATCAGGATTTTTGAGCACAGCTTTACAGATACAGTACACCATGGATATACAGTACATGGCAGCATTTTCTGCTTTGCCTTCTGTTCATTTTGTAGCAATTCCTAATGCTCTATTTGGAACATTCTGGTTCTTTTTTGAGTATGATTAAGTATTGGGATAATATATATTTTTTTTCACCGTGTGTAGACCCAAAAATCCGTATTGTTTTGGTGACTTGTGTGAAATAAGAACAAAGAGTTTTCTTTTAGTTTTCTCTTACTGGTATAGAGTTCTTATTTTATACCCAAAATCTCTTACTTGTTCCATCATCTCCTGGTCTTCCTAGCAGACCCACAGGTCCAGAAGGTCCAACTGACCCCATGTCACCCGCAGGACCTGGAAATCCAGGATCTCCTGGTGGGCCTGCAAGAATTATGAAGATATGTGAAATGAACATCACATGCAATTGACAGTTTAAATAAAACTGCAACTGAAATTACAATTCAAGAACAACGAAGAAGTAAGACAGCGATCTCTCCTTCTTTATCTGTATGAAACAATTTTAAATGTGTGGCAAATTTTAAAGTGGGAGGATTTGGTTACTTTTCTATGGATTCCTGCCCATTTCACAGACACACTGTTTTAAAACTTTGTCCCTCAGTAGTAGTATCTGTGCTAAATATTTTAGAACACCTAGAAAAGTGCTTGTCCCAAATAAATGCATGTAGCATTTAAAATAAATGTGCATCTGGTGTGTATCTGACAGTGCTCGCAAGCGTGTCATTTCAGGAAATTTCCTACTGGAAATTACCCAAATTTAAAAAAGTTTATTTTCAAAATTGCTATAATATATGTTTTTGTAATTAATTTGTGATAAAGAATACTTAAATCAGATATAAAGGGCTTAATGAAATGGAATGAATAATGAATATAACAAAAAACAAAATGTTGGCATTCTGTTTTCAAACAATTCTGATAAATGACATTTTCTCTGAAGAATATAAGAATATTTCAGTATCTACTCACACATCATGCACATAATTAACATTAAAAGTTACTTGAGATACTAGAATTAAGCATGGGCTTAAATCCTTTGCTGCATGAGCTCGAAAAGCATAGAAGGCAATGGAAGACAATTTCAGCTGATTTTTGTTGAAGCTCCTATCTACTGGGGAGGTTCTGCTGAACCATGATTGTGTTGTGATTTATTTTGCTGCTCATAATCAGCATTTACTGCACTAGGAATACAATTTATGGGAAGTTCTTTGTTAAAATGTTCCTACCATACAGGTTCTCTTTGAGATGCCAAAACAAATCGCTTCCAGGCAGCATGCTTGGCTGCTCCCCACTGTCTCCTGCTGTGTAGGAAGTAAAAACTTCCACACATTATTGCCAATTATATAATAAAGATGCGAAAAAAGAGAGAAGATTTAAAATCACAGCCTTAGGTTTTGGTAGGAAGGCAATAAGATTGAGAGGTATTCTATTGAGAGTACTAATTCTAGGCAAGTAGGGAAAAGATGCTAGGAAGTTGGAGGAGGAAGGAAAAGATAATACATATGTTCCTTCCTTCAAGGAACCAGGTTACCAGCTGGTGTTAACTGATAATACACACCAGACACAGATGCAGATCTTAGGCAGGCAAATTGGGAACGTGTATTTTACAACCTTACCATTACAGTTTGTATTAATGAGTGATAATACACTGCTAAGGTGGAAATAAAATATGTTGATCAATCTTTTTTGCAGCCAACCATAGTTTGTCTGTGCCTTTTTATACAAATAATGCAAACTTGATGCTTCTAGGAATCATAGGACCTAGTACATTTACAGATTATGTAGTGTGCACAGTAGCTTCAGTACTTTCCAAAAACTTTGGTTCTTCTGGATGTGCTGTACAACCACGGAACACATGCTCTTGTGTTGCTGATATTGCTGTCCAGAAAATCTAGATTTTTGAA